GAGCCGTATTCTCACCTCGATCTCAGCACAAGCATCTGGCTGCACGATACGCTGAAGTCGCCAGATATGCATGTGACAGGCGCCACATCGGTATTCAATTAGTTCAGGCTCGTTTGTTATTGGCTTTATACTATTTTGCAATCAACAACCCCAACGATTCATGGGATTTCTGTGGGTCCGCTGTGAGGGCTGCCACTGGCTTGAAGTTGAATATAGAGATAGAGAAGAGTGACGATGCTTACCGCAAGAGCTTTCCCTTCGGGCTCAACTTCAGCGGATACGCGGAGTGCAGAAGACGCACCTTTTGGAGTTGTTATCTTATGGATAGATTCAATGGATTCGGCTCTGGACATCTGAGCATGATTGACCCAAAACACGTATACCTTCGCCTACCTTGCGATGAGGAGAGCTTCGAAAACCAAGTCAATGTTCAAAATCCTCTTTTTGAGGTTTCAAACCCGCGATCCCTAGACTATCCACGGACTTTGAACTTGATGGCATACGTAATAAACGTGGCAACGATTTGGGGTGATGTTATGTCCAACATATACAGCAATTCACAACGACCACAACCAATAAGGAGCTCTGATTTCAATGAGTTCTATCGATCTACCATGGATCGTCTCTCAAGTTGGAAAAGCACACTGCCAAACCGCTTTGCTATCCCAGCGGAATCAATGGGAAGAATGTCCGATGGTGGAGAACTGGGCACCTTCATAACGATGCATGCACTGTATCACACAACATTCATGAAGCTCCATCGATATGTTCAACCTTACAATCTTGACGAGTCACAACATTCTCGTTACATTTCTATAGCCGAGGAGCAAGCGAAGAAGTTTTTGAAAATCATGGATGTTGTAGCTAATCGTCGTGAATCTACCGGCATGAGATCGCCAAGCTCAAATACTTGCATCGAATTCTCCTCACCCTTCGTGGGATATGCTATTCTCTCTGCAGTCGACATTCTCTCGGCTAAAACACATAAAGCTTCAATACTCTCCATCATCGACTCCTTCTCTGGTGCACGATCAGTTATTGCCGAGATTGCACAGTTTTGGCAGATGGCAAGGATACAGGAAGCACTCATCTCGGGACGCGTGAGCGACTTGACTGAAATCGATCGCAGGAGCTGGTCGGCTTCTGCCAAACAATCAAGCGCTGGATTTTTTCAGATGAGTGAACCATTGGAGAAAACTTTCTCTCGTGAAAACGATGGCATTTATTCAAAAGTATAAATGCATTTTAAGGGTTGTTCTTGTACATTATTACATTTTTATTATATTGATGACGGGTCCTCTAGAGGAGAATGGAATGATACCAAGAGGCGTTTGGGATTGCTATGCATTTGCATTTTGCATTTTGGATGATTATGAGAGCATCTTGCATAGCGAGGCAGCGGCATAGGCATGGAATACAGTACATACCGGATTCTTAGTTCTCAATCAATTTACATCAATGACATTTTATTTATCACCTTTGAAATCTGTTTTATTTTGTCCAAATAGTCAAACTATGGATTTTGTATATACAAACTACAAACATGTTCTGCATTTACCAGCTCTTCAACATGACCACTGTGACAAACTGACATCACATTGTACCCTTCACTAACACGCCTCAACATCTGGGAACTCATCTTCACCACTAGCAAGTAATAGTCTCACAGAGCATCTGATCCCTCCACCACCGCCTCAAACACCTTCACTCCCTTCTTCAAACATTTAACCGTCCAAACCCGAGCACACCCCCATTCTTCTCCAACTCAATCTGTTCAAAATCGACGATCTTTCAATGTGGAGAGCCAACTTCCCTAGCACCCCACAAACCCACAAATTACCTAGACTATCTACACCACGATAGGCACCACTGCCACACCACTACGTCCGTACATCGAGTTTCACAACCGTGTCTATACGCTTTACGTCAAGATCGATCGACTCTGACGTTCGCCGGTGGACTAAATGCAGTGGGTGAGCTAAGGCACACAGCGGAAACGAAATAATCTCCTAGGTCGGGAGTTATCAGGCTTCTGGAAATGCCGAGCTGGGTCTGGGATATGCAGGAGCCACTCGGCAGCTGACAGGTCTAACTGCTTCGGGAAAGCGGAAGCGATGCACATCGCTCGTATGTAGGTACTTAGAGTTTGGGTGGGTGCGAGGTGTTTTGGGTTAGTGAGGGTGGGGATGGTTGGTTAGTGTGTACCAGTGGGCTGGGATTTTTTTGAGGGAAGAGGACACGTAGAGACTACAGAGGGCTTGTTTGTTTGGGATGGGGGGTGGGTATGGATCTGGGATTGGGGCGGCGCAGATGACTCGGTAGTGGTGCCGACGCTTAGGCGGTAGATGAGGAGCTAAGAGTTAGGGGATGGGAGTTGGGAGCTGGGAGCTGGGAGGCCGGAGTTTTGACGTGGGCTTTTAGACGAGGAAGGCGAGGGGGAACTGGATTGGGATGGTCAGTCGGGTAGATAAGAGAGGAGCTAAGATAGGGATTTGGCTTTGGTGGTGGTCTTGGTCTTGGTTTTGGTCTTGGTTCGGTGGGTATTGAGGCGGGAGTTAGGATGGAACTAGAGGTGAGAAGTAGGCTGTAGCGCACCATAGACACGAAGAAGTGGCTTATGTGCCGATCAGGTGATGCTAGAAAACGGACTTGTCGATGATTGCCGGATGTGCGAAGGGGAAACCCCAAGAGGTTCGAGCTCTCAATTAAGGTGGTGAAGGAGTTGTGGTGAGGGAAACATCGGTGTTCAAAGTTGATGCACCAAAGGCAACAATCGGTAATCATATTGCACCGAATATCTATCACCGCACAGGTGAAGAACACGATTCAATCCTTTCTGTCGTGGTGGGAATCACCCATTTTGACTTTCATGTGCGGTGTAATAGATAGAATCTCGGGAGAATGTTTGTTACTCGATGAAAGTCTAATTTCAGAGACCCTTGCTATATTCAAAAGTCTATAAAAAATATATTGTCTAAATTAAAGGCAAAATACAAGACATCAATTCTAGCAGTTCAGTAATTTATCCATGGATGTCGTTGTGTCTACCGAAGCCTTGAATACGAGGCATCAAAATGGAAGGGTTTGGCGGTGAGAAATGGGTTGGCAGAATGAGCTTGGAGTATCAGAATTTCTTATGATGCTTTAATGATGTGTGATGATAGTATTGAATCTTTTTGTGTATGACCTAAGGACTTATATCTTAATCCACAATGATGCGATGAAGCTTCTACAACCAGAATGGAATTTCCTTCCAAGCCTTTGACGCAACTTACTGGATCCAATGGTGTGTATAATCTTCGCATCTATGAGGGAAGTACCAAAACTAATTCGTTGCCCAAGGACCGGTTCACGCATTAACATACTCATCTTCTCCCTCGCTGTATATCTTAACGGGATCCGCCGACCGCAATATCCGATTGTATAATCCTTCGCGATCCGCAGCTTCTTCGCAATCTCTCGCTCCTCATCAACCTCCTAAACCTAGTCAATTGATTCAAACTTATTCAGCGCATGGCTACGAAGTTCTCTCCATAGCCGTCGCGTCAACAAACGCTACGTTCGCATCGTGCGGCGGGGACCGTAGCGTATTTCTCTGGGATGTTCAGACGGCGAAGACGATTCGGAAGTTTGGGGGGAATAATGGACATACGTCTCGGGTGAATAGTGTGGTGTTTGCGGGAAGCGAGGAGAGCTTGTTGGTTAGTGGAGGGTTTGATCGGAGTGTGAGGATTTGGGATATTAGAGCGGGGAGCATGAAGCCGGTGATGGTTATGGAGGATGCGAGGGATAGTGTTAGTGTTGTTTTGGCGGGGAAGGGAGGGGATGAGGGGTATGGGGGTGGGGAGTATGAGATTGTTAGTGGGAGTGTGGATGAGAGGGTTAGGTGGTATGATATTAGGGCTGGGACGTTGGAGACTGATGTTATTGGGCGGAGTGTGACGAGTTTGATGAGGACGAGGGATGGGAGAGGTGTTTTGGTGGGGAGCTTGGATGGGTGTGTTAGGCTGATGGATAGGGAGAGTGGAGGATGTCTGAAGACTTATAAGGATGAGGGATTTAAGAATGAGGAATTCAGAGTCAGGAGTTGCTTTGGGGGTAATGAGAAGTGGGTGTTATCGGGGAATGAGAATGTTAAGGGAGCAGATGGTGAAGTCGTGGTCTGGGAAACCTTGACTGGAAATGTTTTGCATAGGATCAAAGTTGAAGGTTCGGAAGTTGAAGGCAAGAAAAAGATTGGTCGGGATGGTAAAGAGAAAGAACGTACGAACGTTATCAGTGCCATCGCCTGGAAAGAAAATGGCAAAGGAGACCAATGGTGTTGTGCTGGTACTGATGGGATAGTCACAGTTTTTGGACCCTCATGAGCGCAAGATTCGTTGATTGAACTGTGATATTTGACCCCCTTGTCTATATGGGCAATTCAGAAGTACTTTTCAAAATGCTGCCACCTACACAGGCTCTAAGATGAAGTCTGTCGCCAAGCTCAATGCATACTTTCCTCCCCGGAAAAAACAAACATTCCTCAGAAAAGCAGTACACTTGGTCGGCCAAGAATTTCAGCAGCGTAAGTCAAGTGTGGTTTGCTTTAGGCCCAGCGGCATATTGGGAAGAGACATATATTTGTTCTCCTCCGTTGTCAAAGTTAGAGCATGGCTCCAGTTTATTGACAGCGAAGTGTTTACATGACAAATTGTAAGGCTTTCGCATACAGCACATTGGATGTGACATTTCACTGCATCAATAACCTCCGATGCATGCAAACCGGTAGTCACGACGCAGAATTGCTTTAGTGGCGGAATCATCCGAACCATCCGGACCATCCGATAAGCATCTGCGGGGAACATTCGATAACGACAACACATCTGTGGCGCGAGGTGGAGGCAATAACTGCATTTTTCATCAATCTCATATACCAATAGATATTCAGTTAATATTTCATATACCATTTTGTATGATACCCAGTGCTCTTCAAGACAATTGAAGCCTCATATTCACAGATGCCTCACCCAAACGTCTTTCATCTTCCAGGGGAAGATATATCACCTTCCACAGACATCAAACCAGCAGCCATATCCCAACCTCTCATCAACAGTATTCCACCTGATCTTCTTCCCCGGTTTGACCCCGTCTACGCAAAATATTATGCCCATTACTCGGCGGGACGATTGGCTACTCATCAAATTCCAATCAAGGAGTTTAGGGCCAATCCTCGCAAATACAGCATCGTATACGGACGTGCTATAGCACCTGACGTACATTCTATCACCGATGTTCAATGTCCAGTCACACCGTCTAGCGATGGGAAGAACAGCATCACAGTGAGGATTTTTGAACCAGCTCCAACTGTTAATGAAGGGAAACCAAGACCCGCGTACATCAATTTTCACGGTGGGGGATGGGTCTTTGGGGGCTTGGAAATGGATATGGAGTTTTGTAAGAGATTGGTTGGGGAATTGGGTTGTGTGGTTTTTGATGTGGATTATAGGTTGGCGCCGGAATATCAATGGCCTATTCCGGTAGATGATTGTATTGAGGCTTTTAAATGGATTGAATCGGATGAGATGGTTCAGAAGCGAAATTTGGATAGGAAGAGGTTTGCGGTGGGAGGGATAAGTGCGGGTGGTATGTTGGCGGCGGTTGTGAGCCATGCTTGTAGGGATGAGGGAATGCCGTTGAGTTTTCAATTGTTGGGTGTGCCAGCGGTGGATTTGGATGCATATGGAGTGGATGGAAAATTGACGGAGGAGGGATGGGATCGGTACCCTAGTTATAGGGAGATGGAATTTACGGTGCCGTTGCCGGTGGCTAGGATGGAATATTTTGCGGCACAGTTTCTGGGAGAAGAGAGGGATCGGGATCCTTATAATGCAAGTTTCGTTACCCCTTAATGATTTACGTATTAACGAGTGAATGATAGAACTGGAAAGTCTCCCCTATACTAGCGACCAACTTTGAGGGGCTTGCACCGGCTCTCATTATGACGGCGGAGATGGACCCTCTGAGAGATGAAGGTAAAGCTTACGGGGAAAAGATGATCGCTGCAGGTTCCCACGCCGAAGTTATTTGTATGAAGGGAATGCCGCGTAAGTACAATCGGTTCCTTTCGCGCACCCCTGATTTTCACTGTCTATCTGCATATTTCTCTTTTGTATCTTTTTTACTTCCAATGGAGTTTTACTTTGGTCTTCAAATACACACATGGAAAGCACTAATGATTGATCGTTCTAGATACTTTTATGACGATGGATGATATTCTCGAGAATGGTAAGAGGTACAATCGTGAAGCCATTCGAGCTTTGGCTACTGTGTGGGGGATCGCTATTAAATAAGGCTGGATTGGAGTCATAGGATTGATGGATGCGGAGTTCGAAAGAACAATCAATTGGTTGCACATCATAATGGCGTCTTTCTGTGGTTCGTCATTTGCAGATACTTGGACATTACGAATAGACAGGGTTAGATAGAGCAATTACCAGACAGCACCTTTATCGAAAGTGACGATCGAGTAATTCGGGATTTAGACAACATTTGCTTTTGAAAGAAAGATCCTGAGTTGACATGTTGGGTTTGATGGCTGATTTTTCAAGTCTCTTTTGACACGTGTTAAAGTGTATAACTTAGAGTTCAGGAATTATACTTATATAAAAGGGGATTGATATGAGCAGGAGCATCTCTCTTTATTGCCCCAATGTTGCCTCTCTCTCCACTTTAAGCTTCGGCCGAGTAACGGAATAAGGGGGCGGTCTTTCGGAAAAGCTTATCGGTTCGGTGTAACTAATCATAGTGGGAACTCCTAGAGCTTGCTTTGTAAACTCCAGTGGGTTCACTGATACGTTATCAGTAAGCAAAAATCGATACGGAGTAAGTAGGTATCTAGGTAGATAGAATTCGAATGTACACTCATTTTTCTTTTCTTCATAGATAGTATCTTATTATCTGTTGTGAGTGTTGATTTTTGTCAATTGTGCATACTTGCATCTTTATTCCATACCAACATCCAAAATGGCGAACAATGAAATGGAAACCCCGGAATTCCTTCTCGCGAATGGAATCAAGAGCATGCATCAAGAACATGAAGATGCCAAACCACCTTTAGATTTAAGCCATCATTTTTCCCGCGTAACGGTGGCTCGTCAACAGAGCGCCGTGAAAAGTTTCTACAAGTTCTTCCAGATCCCCGGAATCGGAAATCTGGCTGGAGGTAAGCTTCACTCAAGCTGGCGTTCGCCACGCTACAACGTTCCACTAGCAGCAGCCGCTAGATACTGCACGTCGACCAATATGTTAATCGATTGTCTCAGGTCTTCCCAACGCGGCATTTTTCCCCTACGATACGCTGGAAGCCCAGATTGCACAGCCGGAAAGATTCACCCCCAGTCCGAATGAAGCTCGTGGGGCGGACGAGCTTTCGCAAAAGCTCGCGGCGACGACGATCAAAAAGTCGGCGACGGATGCATCGAGACATTTGTTGATTCCCCATTTGTCGACGACGCCGAATCCGCTGCAGAAAATTGATCTCACGACGGCGTTGCAGTATGGACAGGCGCAGGGATATCCACCGCTGTATTCTTTTGTGCGACAGTTTGCGCGCGAGAATCTGCATCCGAATATTCCTTACAAGGGCGGGGCGGAGATTCTCTTGACGTGTGGATCGACGGATGGGTTTTCAAAGGCGATTGAGGCGTTGAGTGATGTTTGGAGTGAGGAGAGAGATTGGGTGAGAGAGAGGCCGGGGATACTTTGTGAAGAGTTCGCTTATATGACGGCGGTTCAGGCTTGTAGACCAAGTTAGTATATGCAAGGCGCAGAAATGGAGAGATTGTAAGAGTACTAATATAATTTTTAGGAGGAATACAGGTTGTTCCGGTCAAGATTGATCTTGAGGGAATGATCCCCACGGGCCCTGGTAGTCTCGAAGATGTACTCGAGAATTGGGATGATTCGAAGGGTAGAAGACCTCATATGATGTATACCATCACGTAAGTATCGTCCTACCTTTCTCAGGGTTATCAATACTCACTGTGTAAAATAGCATTGGCCAGAACCCCACCAGCGGTACTCTGTCAATCCCAAGACGCAAAGAACTTTACGCCATCTGCAGTAAATTTGATGTAATGATCATTGAAGATGATCCATATTGGTACCTCCAATTTCCATCCGCAGCAGGACTGCAAGCAGAAGCTCGCAATGAGACTTTACCCGAGCCAGAAGCAGTGCACACGTTCAAAAACTCCACCGGGTATGCATATCTTGATAGTCTCGTCCCATCATACCTAAATTTCGATTACGATGGACGCGTGATCCGTCTCGATACATTTTCGAAAACGGTAGCGCCGGGCTGTCGTCTAGGTTGGATAACGGCACAGCCAGCGGTTGTCGAGCGTCTTTTGCGAATCACCGAATGCACAACTTCACCACCATCTGGCTTCGTTCAGGCAATGATCGCGGAGTTGGTTATGGGTCCTCAAGCTGCTTCCGCTGAGTTTAGCAAGAAATCCCGAAACGAACAACTCGCATTCACAGGGTGGAAGACTGACGGCTGGGTACGTTGGTTAGAGGGCTTGAGAGGCACATACGAACGCCGGATGAATAGAATGTGTGCAGCCCTCGAAGATGGTCGCTACTACGTCAAACAAGGCACTTCCAAGGCCATCTCCGATTCCGAATGGGCGGTCATCACCAAGACGAAGATGTATTCTTTCGACTGGCCGCGCGGCGGAATGTTCGTGTGGATTCATATGCATTTCGATACTCATCCACTGGCCAAACAAGTCCCTGGGGCCAAACTGGCGAAAGTGCTGTGGATTTTCCTAACTATGAAACCCCATCTCGTCCTCGCAGCTCCTGGTGCGATCTTTAGTCCCACGCCGGAAATTGCAGAGGAGCGGGGCTGGCAATATTTTAGATTGTGTTTTGCGGCTGTGGAGGAAGAGGAGGTGCAGAAGAGTAGTTTGAGATTTGCGGAGGGAGTCAAGGCTTTCTGGATGATTAAGAATAAGGAGGATTTGGATGATATCGATGTTGAGGCAAATAATGCTGGGGCTATGGAGGGTGAAGTGAGGAACTTGGGGATGAATATGGCTTGTTAGATTGCGGGGCCAATGATGATGTGATAATATAAGGAGTGGTATATTTGGAAGTTGAAACATGACGAGGCGCTTTGGATTTGGATGTAATATTTAAACACAGAATATAAGGTTGTGTTACAGGATACAATTTATGTGTACTAATTGTGAGCTTGCAAGTTAAATTCAAAGGAATTAGAAACAAATCAGAGATGTGAATTGTTTTAAGCCACCTATATCCCCAGGGCCTTCCACGAGGTGTCTTAAGCGAAGATCATAGGGGGTGCTTACTATGAACAATCAGCCCTGAGTGATACGTTGCACAAGCTAATAGTATGCGCATGGGAGAGATCTGTAATGATTCGTTCGGATTGGTGAGTTGTTAATGTCTGTGATCCCATCGGGCAATGACTTGCTATTCCGCTGAATAGGCTTAGGTGAGAATGCATATAGTTCACATGATAACTTGATTTGTTGTTAATAACGATGTCTACCTAGATACTTAGATATCCCAATTCGTATCGCAATATTCTGGTCGTAGATTCATTCAATACCTAGGTGCTCATTGCAATCATTCAAATCCATCCTTTTTGGACGCCAGAGTAGTCCTTTTAGCAACCGTCTTATAAATGCTCAAAATCCCCAACACCAGCAATTCTGCCGCCTATCATACCAAACCAAATCTCAAGCATTCGATGCCTCTTCTGGAACCTTTCCTGCTACCGCATCCATAACCTGTTTAGTTATGTCCTGGAATATTGGACACAGAGAACAATCCCGATATTTCTCTACCAAAAGCCCGTCATCCCCGACAGTGTTAGCACCGTTCTGGATACCACTCATGTCTTTGCCATTTACTAGCGTTCCTTCCGGATATACTGGTTTTCTGCCTGCTTCTACCAACATTCCGAATTGAGGATCAATCGGAACTCGCCCTAAGAATTGTACTCCAAAATCTTTGGCCATAACCTCTCCACCTCCTCTGTTGAATACATTTGTACATTCCGAACAATTTGGACACACAAATCCACTCATATTCTCCACTACTCCGATAACATGTATTCCAGTCTTCGTACAGAAATTTAATTCTTTCCTCACATCTGCCGTTGCCACTGCCTGCGGCGTCGTTACAATCACCGCACCGGCGACTTGACCTGGAAATGCATTCTTGAGAAGTGTTTCCGCCAATGAAATATGTTCGTCCGAGGTACCAGGCGGGGTATCAATAAGAAGGTAATCGAGTTCGCCCCATAACACATCTGTAAGGAACTGTCTAACCATAGCTGTTTTCTTCGGTCCGCGCCATACTACTGCATCGCCTCGTTCTCGGAGTAGAAAGCCAAGAGACATGCATGATAGGGCGCCGATGGAGGAAGAGGGGTTGGAGGGGTGAACAGGGACGGGGATCCAGCCGCCGGGTGCTTGGGTTACTTTGGCAGATTCGAGGGAGAAGAGACGGGGAATGGAGGGTCCGGTTAGATCGATATCGAGGATTCCAACGGAGGAACCAGCGAGAGATAGGGAGAGGGCAAGTTGGGTTGTGACGGAGGATTTTCCAACTCCTCCTTTACCGGAGAGGACCTGTGAGGTTCTTTGTTAATCGATGATGAGTGCTATGATTGTGTTAAGATACTTACAAGAACAATGTGTTTCACTTTATCTAAAGACATCTTTGAGGATACAAAAAATCAAATAAAAATGGTAAAATGTATTGTTCTAGTCATTGTCGCATCATTTGAAATATCATCAAAATGGGTAGAATATTGAAATGCTTATCGCTTATCAATCCGATGTTGCTAATCAATCACTGTTAATCGGCTGAAAACCCATCACTAATCTGACATCTGATCCATGACGCTTTTAGCGTGCATTGTTAGGCTTTAGCAACGTTACGGGGCCGGGTCTTACAACGGATGAATTGTCAAATTGATTGACCCTGAACCCTTGGAGCTCGAAATTAATACGAGTAACAATACTACAATACACGAAATTGCGCTTTTCTAGTCAACACAAGCATACATAATATCTCCGAACGGATCTGCGGATGATGGTCGAAAGAATATCAATATGAAAGAGGTTTTCAAAGGGGGATGTGAATGGATATGGACGACCCTTGGGGCTCACCGTGGGCCGACGAATTGAACAATGATGATGGTTTGGGGGTTCGAAGCATTGACAATGTAACAGATGGAAATCAGGTTGGAAAGGCAAGTGAAGCTTTGAGAAATAACGTGAATGCGACTTGGGGTACTTCGGACGATGGATTTGGTGATTGGGAAGAGGACACGGGGAAAAAGAAAGGGGGTTTGGGTTTGGACGGCGCAGCAGAACAATGGGATACACCGAATCGTGGAAGGGAACTGGAGGTGGTAAAGGATGATGTTGGAGCATTATCGCCGGGTTGGGGTAATACTTCTCCAAGTCCTGCGCGTGCAGCACCAAAGTTATCGCCGAGTCTTCTGGAAGAACCTGTTGCAATTGCTCGAGAACCATCTCCGGATCCTTGGGCAAACGCGGTTCATTCTGAGGAGTCTGCGACGGTTGAAGACAAGCCTAATTCAGGGGCTACAATTACGAATCTTGACACCTTTCAAGAGGTTGTCGAAGAAGCCACCGATGAGGATTTCGAAGTAGAGTCTCCCGAAGCATTCGAAGCAATTGTGTCGCAACCCGAGGATTCCGATGAGACAAAATTCGAGCCAGTAGAACTTCCCTTTGATGAAACAGCGGAAACGGCAATAGGTGGAATAAATACAGATAATGAGGAAACAATTGGACTAGGTATTGATTTAGAACCTAAGAGTGATTTATGCACCGAAATCATCGAGGAAGAACATCGTGAATCAGACGATACTGTTCTGCCATCGACACAGGTGCCCGAGCATGAATCTTCGCGACCATCTTCTTCGCCATCTGACATAAGTCATCACGATGAACTTCTGCCAGATTCACCACGAACATCCTTAGATGAAGAACCGAAAAGGTCTCGAACCACAAGAGCTGTGTCGCCGGATGTCCAGGAGCCAGCTAAAGAATTCGATGACCCAGCGAAGCCAGAAAATGAGCTTGTTGCAGAAGATGCTAAATCAGAGGAGGAAACTGATGGTTCGACGGAACCAGATAATGAACATGCTGCTGTAACAGAGTCAGACGCTGCAGAGAATGATGAAGAAATGGAACAGAGCTCCAATGTCGAAGACCCAAATGATGACGACTTTGGAGATTTTGGAGATTTCGAAGAGGGGTTTTCGGATGATGGAGAAGAAGTTTTGGAAAATCACAATTCGATTGGGCAACCCATTTCTTCCGAATTGGCTACACCACCGAACGAATCTTCGGAAATCCGCTTGCCGAAAAGACCGACAGGACCCGTTGATTTTTCTATTGACCTGACTTCCGTGAAGACATTGTTCGGGGAAGCCAAGGAAGATCACAACGAAGCAGCTGAGAAGATTTTTATACCCGATACTATTATTGCTGATACTTTCGCATCTACTGAGGAACGAAAGATGTGGTACAGAGTATCAAGGTATGGCACTATGCGAAAATACAATACTGGAGACGATGAAAACTATGTTCGGATCTCATGGGCTCCATCTCAGGTTAAGCAAGAGACCCAAAAGATAGTGGCCAGATGGATGGAAGAAGATCGAAATAATGGACATCTGAGTCTTGATGGTACGAGCAAAGGTGGTTCTCTTTTTGGTTGGAATGATCTAAATGCACCACCTGTTCCATTAGCAACAATTCTTGGCTCGAAACGAAAGAGTGTGAAGCTCGAAGCGAAGGTAGCCGCTAAGGAATCAGTTGAGGTTCCTAGGGAATCGTCGAAAGAGGTCACTCAAGATCAATCCGGGTCTAAGTCTCGTTCACCATCGAAGCCGAGAGAACGCAGCCCGACCAATTCAGTGGACTCAGGTGTTAATAAAAAAGCACCGCCACCGCCTCCCGTCGCACAATTTGGGTGGGCTTCATCACCAGCGATGCAGAACGCTTCTGGTATCACTCCCCCAGATACAGGATCTTTCATGAAAACTTTCACACTCCCGATGAACTCTAGCTTTGGAAATTTTGGGCAATTAAGTCCTGCTTTACCCAGCCCAGCACCCAAATCTCCAATCGAACCACCCCCAAGCTTCGCCCAAGCAGTCAAGAAACCCCGACCAATTTCAATGCCACCCCCATCTACAAACAGCTCGAACGGTAAACCTGCCAATTTAGCCTTCATTTCTAACGATTCAGATGATGAAGAAGAAGATGATGAATGGGGCGAAATGGTTTCATCGCCCATTGTTACTGAGGCTCCGAAGTTTCCCACCCGAGTTTTGAGGCATAAGAAGTCGATGAGCCTTGGAGATACACTTGCCAACTCTATTACTCTTCCAAATCCCCAGGTTACAAAGCTTCAATCTGGATTTGGTCTAAACCCGAAATCAAGGCTCGAACAAATTCCTGGACCTAAAAGCCCTATAACATTACAGTACCCGCAATTATCCGGTACCATTCCATCCCCTATATCTTCGAATCCGTCATTTGTAGATTTGTGGTCTTCTCCAGCCACTACTCCAGTGCCAATCCAATCAACTGCGCTACCCCCTCCGTCACCGGCACTATCAGCCACAGCATTTTCCGATCGCTTGTCACGACCTATCTTGTCCTCACCATTAAACACAACCTTCACAGATACCTGGTCTCAACCTCCTCCCCCTAGCACCTCTGTATCAGCCCCACCAATCACAAGCACCTGGTCACAACCCTCGAGTCCCTCGATGCCACCCCCCTCAACCAGCGCGCAGGATCCATGGGCGTCAGTCGATTTCTCCTTTTTCGATGCACCAACTCCTGCACCGGCAATCGCAACAGGACCTGCCCCTATATTACTGTCCAAACAAACCACAAAACCAAGACCTCAATCATATCCAGCTCCACCAAAACCTAAGACCGTTACCTTCTCTACTCCTTCGTCTAAATCTACGCCCTCACCTCCGGTCCCTACCTATACAAGTCATGATTCAAAGACCAAATTTGAAATGGAGCAGGATGAGATTGTGAAGAGAATCGTGGGTGGCTTGCCTAATTTGGGATATATGCTTAGACGATGAGCTACTTAGACCGCTTGGGGAAAGTAATTCGAAACCGAGGAGGCTTTTCGCATATATGTATGTGTACAATGATAGGGGAAAAAGCAAGGGGGAAAAAGCAAAAGAAAACGCGATGAAACTGTTTGTATAACAGAAACAACAAAGTCCACGAAGAGGTAAAACTTCTAAAGGTGACAGGATGGTAGATAAGGGGCAACGGGGAATATTTAAAATATCAGTACTTCGGAGTTATGGAGCGAATTGGTGGGATTTTATGGGTGTATCTGCATAGCTTGCGTGGATGGTGAATTGGGTATTGGTAAAATTGACCTCCCATGAGATGACAATGAGTCTCGTAATTGGATTAGGAATTTTCTGGATGTTATTGGCTCGGTTGAATACCTTGCTAGATAGAATGGATAAATGAAGATGGTATACAATGATAAAATTTGATACTGGAGTTTATGACGTGATGTGTAAATATATATATATATATATATATTTTTTTTTTTTTTTTTTGTAAAAGTACAGTAAGGAGAAAGAAGAAGATTCAGTTTATGTGCCTTGATGTGGCACGAGTTTATCACATATGAAAAAAATGAGATTGGAAGATTGTCTGAAGCTTTAAAAGGCGACTTTGCCTTCAATGACCGCTCACGTGGAATGCATGCGTCGGGTGAAATTTCACTGTCACCGAAAGTAGAATATGCTACTTGTCGCTTTTAAGAAGCTTAATTATATTCATGGCAAGGGCTGCGAAATACTATCTACATGGGCATTTCCTCACTGCAAATATAAAAAAAACTCCCGATTATTATATCATGCCACCCTAATCTAAATCCATACTGTCCTCACTTTTATGCCTCCCGTTAACTCGCCAGCATCTCTCCCTAGATGAACGCCGAAAAGTAATTAAACCAACCGTAAATCAACCTTCCGATTTCCCCCACGCTCACTAGCCAAGCAAGCTTCTATTCCTACACACCAGCCAATAACGCCTGAAACATTTGAGAAAATACACAGAACCCCCGTATCAGTCTCCATCTCCTTCCCTCTCGTGTTCACATCTCAAAATCCCAACTCTTAAGATTATAGATATGGCATCCATAGAGCGTCACATTGCGCAAGGTTCATAGGATTGACTGCCTTGGCAATCAAGTCAATAACCGTCTGGTTAGCAGGTAACGCACCTTCTGGCGACTTAGCTATGCTCAATGCCCTCTTAACGATCATATCACTATTTATCTGAACAGCATCCCTCAAATCAGTGTCTTTGGTGGTAGTTCTATGGCTGCTCGTGAACCAGAATATCATTTCGTCGCGTACGAAAAGACAGAGTTGCTGTTCGAGTTCAAACCCAGGTTCAGTGAGGCATCGCGCAATAGCCATGATGGCACAACTGTAAATACCCTCAGTAGCCAATGGTCCCATAAGTGTCTGAATGTTGGGAGTGAGACGGAATGGTACAGGCTCAGGGTTGTGGAAAAGTGCTTTGCCTGCTGCCATACACGACATCAATTCAGATCCCCAAATGTTTCCTGTGGCACGTGAAATTGTGATCTTATGAGGATAACGATTATGCATATGTAGAATATACGTCATAAATGTAAGAGCTGCATATTGATAAGAGAACTGTCTTCGGAATAGCCAGAATTCGGAGAACGATGGGTAGGTTTTCGTAAAATATCCAAGAACAAGTGATGGGCCAACATATCGTTCTTGAATAGCAGCAAAAGTCTCGAGTTTTGCCGTGGCAGAATGTTCGATAGATGTCTTTTGCTTGGCAAAGTCAGTTATAGAAACTTGGGAAATACCGCCCTCCATGAAACTTACTTTTTGATCGAATAAGAGTTTTTGCTTTTCCATATTGAACACAATTGGCGCGTCTTTAGTAACTCCATTTCTCCTGCAGTGATCGTCGTACACTCCCTGTAATGAGATATAGGTTGGATCGTCTTGCACCATTCTGATATGGGGTGCAAGAGGAATCATCAACGGTAGATGGAAGTTCAGATTACGTCTTCTGCTTTCCTTTCGTTTGCTTAAGCTACCATTGAAATGCCTGAACAACTGCAAAATGCGTTCTTCCCTTCTACAATGTCGTGCCGCAGGATGCTGTATAGCAAAAGGATGCAGACTTCCATCATGGCCACGAATCCTAATACGACGATGGCAGACCCCAATTGCACGCACGAGATCCACATCAGGCATGAATCGTTCAATGCGAACGAAGTCTTGGTTCTTGTCTTTATGGAGAAGATATTGCCCTGGGACTTCTATCTCATCGAGTTTTTGGAAACGGAAATCGATAAGGTAAGAGTTGTACCCTTCAAGTGGCATTGTCAGGGTGCGACGATCCAGTTTCTCTTCAAACTTATCTCTCCATATTCTAAGCTTGTGAATATACTCGAACATTGTAGGTTTGTGTCTAACGAAATCCTGTTCAAACGAAGTTCTAATGTGAGGGGGGAGAATAGTTTCTGCAAAGCGAGTGATGTTTGCTTCTGTCGCTGGCGGCAGTCTAGTGTCCTTAGCATACGAAGATGGGGTACGGCTAACATAAGAAAGCCCGTCATTGAGTAAGGCTACTATCAATCTGTATGCATCCTCGTCAGGTGGACATTTGAAATTCTTTTGAATAGAATCAACCATTGCTTCCATGGAAAGTGCCAGTAATGGAAAAGCTGTTTTCAAAGTTCCTAGCAATTCTTCGGTGTACTCCCAAGGAGGTCTCTTCTGGGGTGCCTGGGATGTTGTGACATCTTGTGAAGCACTCGCCGCGCCATTAGCAGGTGCCCCGTTGACAGGAGCGCTGTTTGTACTGGCAGCATTTCCGTTCGTTTCTCCAGGCTCTGTTTTGATCGAAGGAGCAGCTTCGGCACTTGCAGTCCCAGGCCGTGATGCGGAGGCACTTTCAGATCTTGCGCCGTTGGCGATTTCCGTTTTGAGGTTAGAGCTACCGTTCGATGCCTGGTTTTGGGCTTGAGTCTGGGCTCTCTTGTTCTTAGCCTCCTTCATTTCCTGCGTCTTCTTGATAGCAAGCATATCTTCACGATTTGTTCTAAGCTGGAAGAACAACGCTTGAGGGTACTGTTTGGCGATTTTAGACAGAATAAGATGTGCCTTGGCAGCTTCCTTGTGTCCCAATCCCGTGAGAAGTTGAGGGATGAATGTGATCCAATACCAGACCGGTGTTTCCCCTTTGTACTCATCAAATTGTTTCGAAAGTGTACCTTCAGCATCATCGAGGCTCAATAACCAGAGAATTCTTGTGAGGAGTTTTCTAGACTTCGCATTCTTAAACAACCCGGCTGCTTCCAAGTAACAACTTAAGGCATTCCTGGCAAACGTGTAGTCAGTTAGATTCGCTTTGAACAAGCGATCATTGAAATAACCCCATTCAGCCCAGGCCTTTGGAAGCTTGATCTCAAAAAACAATGCCATTCCATAAGCTTCGGATGCTTCATCACGTAACCCGAGCTTTTCCTGGAACATTCCCTTCAAAGTATAGAATTCGGCCTTTTGGGTAGGGCCAAAGTAATTCAGATTGGTGTTATTGATGACATCTAAACCATTGTTCAGCTCGTTAGGGTTTTGGTAGTGACACTTTGCTTGCTCTCGGAGCTTGAGGAAAGCCTCCTGAATCTCTATGTTTGGTAACGTGTAGATCCGGCTTAGTTGGTTGATGCAAACCTCAGGTAGATTATGCTTTCGGGCTACATGTGCGAATCTATTGATGATCCAAGCAGTTTCATGGTAACCTCTATAGGCGAAGGATGCGCCATTGGCATTTGGAGCTTGCTGAGGAAGAAGGTTCAAGTAGGTTGAGTTGATTAGAGCAAAAATATGCTGTCTCCATGTGACAAGGTCTTGCCAAGCTGTGATGTCGTCCCAGACATTTGGTAGTCGATCGCGCCAAGTTCCCAACAAAAGCTTCAGTTCACCCGATTTGACATCGAGGTTGGCAGCGGTAGTCTGCGATAAGCTTTGACATATAACACTAGCGTCGTGTAGTTCCACAAGCTGTTGGAAATTTTGGAGCAGTGGAATGTGAGCGTTGGTAATGCGTTTGGGCAATTGGTGCCATTTGCGGATTGAAAGTTGGATCGCTTCGTCGCAGACTTTGTTGAAATCTGCTTGTGTTTCAGTCTTCTTGTGTAGCTTGAGCAAAGACATGAAACCCTGGAAGAATGTTCTCCTTGGCGTTGGCGCATCCATGACACCTTTTATGATGTTGTCTAGCGATTCACGACTCTCAGCCTCTTGCCAAATGTCAAATTGCCTCCAATGACTCTCAAGAAGCAAGTCTGGGAAATTCTCGTGCTTCGCAAAATCTTGAAGAACTTCCCACTGCTGAAGTTTTTGGGCACATAAAACCCAGTGATCTTCCCATAGTATGTACTCTCCTTGTGAAAAGGGAAGTGCCCCTGTTCGTGCCTTAATCTGAGCATGCTCATACATCGTTTGAGCTTTATCCCACATTCCGTTCTGTTCGTATGAGAGAGCAGCATTAGTCTCGACATATGCACAGCGGCGGCGCCAAGTTCCGTAGAAAAGATCGTCTTCCTGAAGCCCAGAATACAGTTCAACAAGGGCATCGAGATTGCTTTCCCGAACCAATTCGCTTTCAATCTCAGGTTTAATAGCAGCTTTTTCAAGTTGTACGAGGGCTGTGTACCAAGCATCGTAGGTCTTTGCCAGAAACTTGAGTACGTGGGGTGGTAATTTACACTCGGGCCATGCTTTAGCTGCACCTTCCAGGAGAGATTGCACCACATTGGGTCGTCGATCGATTTGACGCGAATGATAGTCTCTCGTGAGTAGAGTCACCATGCCTCGTTCCAGTTCGCTTCGTTCATCTTTTGGCGTGGCAATCCAGTATATTGGGAATAAAGCTACCCATATCTCGTGAGCCATGTTTGGATCAAGATGTTGAAGTTGGCTCAGAGGCTCAACGATATCTCGTACTTTGACATCTCCTAGTTCAGCAACAAAGCGTCTGTGAGATGCCATGAGACTGTCAAATCTATTGTCTTGTGGCAAAGTAGGAGTTCGATTGTCTTTAGCATAAGTCTCATAAAGTACTGAAGCAGGCATCACCTTGAAGTCATCCGAATGCAAGTGGATGGAGTGGTTAGAATCCACAGCACCTAAAAGCAATTGAGAAGCTTGCGCTAGCCAATAAGAATCTGCGAGAGTATCCCAGTTCTGTCCAATGATGACATAATTGAGCCTTGTGCTTGCCGTCTTGGACTGACTTCTGTCAAATATAGCCATGAATCGATTTCGCATGTCTACGTCTTGTGCTCTTGTGCCGATTAAGAAAGCATGCTCCATGCGAACTGTCAGTTCGGTGCGCGTAATTTTCGGATCTTCATAAATGCGGATGACGAGTTCCAAGAACTTCATCAACAACGTCTGATCCGTACGCTGCTCAAAAGTCAACATTTTATGCAGTACAGCAGTCTTCTCTTTCAAAGTAGGCCAGGAGCCATCTGACTTGAAGACCCAGCCTTCTACCATATCCAAGATTTTGAGACATAATGTATTACTCAAAGACTTCTCTACCAAAGTTGCGAGGACGCTCAGGAATGGACGGCGATTGTCAGCAAGAGTATCCATGCGTAAGGATATTATGTCAATGGCTTTGAGAGTAAGCCCAGTTTGAATCTCCAGATCGTACGGTGTCATGATGCCAACAGGTTCAACCTCACCAGATCGTATCGGGGGAGGAATTGTACCTTGACCCGCTAATGCTTGGTAATGACCTACATGCTCACGCGCCAATTTCTGCTGCAAAGCTTTCATGACTTGCTGGATATGCTGATCCATTTCCGATGCTTTTCTCTGCGCTAGAGTCCAGAGAATGTTGAGACCAGATATATAGTTATTAGCCTGGAGCGTCTCTGTAGCTATAGCAGATAGGAAAGTTATGATCTCAGAAGTTGAGGCTTCCGGTTCCGACTCTGCGTCTGCATCTTCCATCGGGGTATCATCGGGAACTGCCTCTAAAATACGCTTGAGCAGAGGACTCAATTTCCGTCCATCGTCGATTTTCTCGTTGCCAGCATGCAAGCAATCTTGAATCTCTGGGTTATCGGATTTAAGTGCCTTCTCTAGAATATGTTGGATTTCTGGCACTTTCTCAAGAATCCACTTGACCGGCTTTACGTTGACAACAATCCGAACAACTTGCAGTGTATTGACAATATTTGTGATAAATTTGTCATCCGGCTTGTCCTTATCAGGGCGTTCGTTTGCAAGCGCCGCTGTCGCTTTGTCACTTGCGAGGACTTCTTTCGTAACATTCGGGAAAAGATCAATGTCAAGATCACCCCAGTACTGGGGCTGTAAAAGATTCCAAAGTAAAGCCAAAGATTTCTTGCAGATTTCCACAGAAGGAGTTGGCTGTGCTGGTCCGTGAGACGTTGCTGTATCTCGGCTTCGGGCAGATGGTAGAGGGTATCGTTCATTGAGCGAGGCAATGAATTCAACAAGATACTTGATCATCTTTGCACGCATCACAGATGGTATCAGATACTCTGGCTTATCATTCGCAGAAGCAGCTCCAGGTCTGGATGGCGACGGAGAGGAAGTCTGAGCCTCGTTGAGACTGTCGAGCTTTCTTTTCTTTGTATTTGGAGATTCGGACAGAGACCTTTCTGGAGAAGCTGACTTCCCCTGGACGCGGCGCTCCTCCCACTGCCATATCAACGACATCAAATGCAGTGCCAACTTTTTGCTCTCGTTGGACGGATTTGGATTTGTTTGCGGCAACGCAATTTTTCGCAAGGAGCCAATTATGAGATTGATAAACTTGTCACGAGATTCGTAAAAAAGATCTGCATGTTTCACAAGGAAATTGAAAATGCTTGTCATCTGCTGTACATTGTTGCCTTCCTCCGCGAGTATGCGGCGTGGAGCAGCAGCCCATACGGGGTTGCGATCTCCAGGTACAGCATTGCAACGTTTGGGTAGGACTGGCGCAATTAATTCCAATGCTTGAGTGACCAAAGCCCGTCCTTCATTTTGATTCGTTTTGAGAAGAGAAAAGTATACTTGTTGGACAATCTTGGCAGGTGTTTCGTAGTGTGCAATAAAATATCCAATGACGACATATGCCGCATGCTTGTTAATGACATCCTCGAGCCTGATGTAGCCCCAACCAAACTTAATGATGTCTTTCCTGGCTTCTTGAAGGATGGAATGATTGTATTTCACGAGCATTGCTGTCAATTGTAACACCTCCATCCGAGTATGATCGATTCCTGGCTGTGTGAGATCATCACTTGGATCTGGCAGCCCGACCTTCCAAACTTTGGTATGTATCGATTCGATAATCGTCCTGTCTATGAGTCGAGGACTCTTGGCCGATAATGGCTGCTGAAAGTTGCGCATAATGTCCATGGCGATGATTGGATTGACAAGATTGTGGAGGAGGAATGTTTTGTTTCTCTGCGTTGCAGATTTACCGACGTAGATCTCCAGACTTCGCAGGACAATAGCTTTGCGATATTCGATCGATTCGCTACAGATTATAGACTTGTAAATGAAATCAAAGATTGGCTGGTTGGGCTTGAAATCTTCAGCTGTTACCGACTCGATTAGATTGAAGAATGAATCTAGGTCACGGGGATTGTATTCCAGGAACTTTGTGAAGATGATCATAAGTTGTTGTCCTGCTTGTTCTGCCGCCAGTCGAAGATTTTGTGGAAGAGTATTAGTGCGTAGGTGCTGCTCAAGGTTCTTGCCAACTAGCCTGAACCACATTAAGTTCTCTTTTTTATCCATCCAAAGTTCGGTTCCCTTGAAGTTACAGATGGAGTGCATGACATTGATGGCATTAATGACGGCTGCATATCGGGTCTCTCTGTTTTCTGCACCCATATCTCCGCAGCTCTTATCAAAGAATCTATGTTACGAACTACGACGGCTCGTAGCGGTGCACTATCGGGATGGCCCAAAACTTGCGCCAAAAACCTGCCATACTTTTGATCCTCAATCTTGCTTAGAAGCATGGCCCATACCTCTTTAGGATACCGATTGATGTATTTGTATAGTGGTTCTCTGAAAGGACTATGGCGTGTTCTACGAAGTTTCTCTTCCAACTCCAAAACAGTCTCGATAAGCTTCTCTTTAATTGCTCGCTGCAGGGGGCAAGAGATGAAAAATATTGAATACGGCTGCAATAATCTTCATCTGCTCGTTTTGCTCTACGAGAGTGAACGAGATACGTTGAAAAGAGTTTGGGTCTGCAAGTATTCTAATGTGTTCCAACAGGCGGGCACCAATCTCAACCTTGAAATATGTTGTCAGAAGTTGAAGCAATCGTGCTAGCCCATCGAGACCATGAGTGGTCAACCGTTTAGGATCTTGAAGATTAGCCAATACCGGTCGGAGGCCGTTTTGAAGGAGATCCTTGGGAAGCTTGTTGGAATGGATAAGACGACTCTCAACGCATCATTCGCCGCCTCAATAGTTGACTTGGAGTTAGAATAAAGGCATTTGAAGAATACACTGACAATCCTAGTTCGAGTAGGACTAGCCGGACCTTTTTGAAAGTCATCAAATCCCATGGCAGTTGTCAAGGTCTTTATGCAAGAGACTCTGAGAGTGACAATATGCTCATGTGTTCGATATTCGGTGGGTTTGGGCGCTAGCGACTCATCTGGTGCATCAGCTAACGCCAAACACTCCATAAGCAGTCTGTTCAAAGTGTCATCAAAGGCAAGGAAGTCATTCTTCAGACTCATATAATAATTGACGGCATCGATATATCCAATTTGGGTTGCAAATGGCAAAGCTCTGAGAGGTTTGTTATAAATGGGAGCCAAGATTCGATCCTGCTGGTGGGCAAGAAGCTCGTACACTTCAACCCCAATCTCCTTCGCGATAATCTCCAAGGATTTCCTGGCGGTTTCACGAACATGACCATTCATGTGGTAAACCTCAGCATTGAAAAAGTTGCACAGTTGAAGTAGCTTAGATGGTCGTGAAGGTTGGCCAGGCTGTGACGAAGGTTGAAGATCAGCTTTAGAAGATTTGCCGGCGCATCGCTTCAGAAGGAGTTCCAGTGTATTCTGAGCAGCAATTCGAGTCTTCGCTGGCAGATCAGGGGGCATATCTTTGACAACATGCATGAGAGCTTTAGTATACTCAACTTGCTTTTCCAACATCCAGCTATCACCGAGATCGAATTTTGTTAGCATGAGATTAATACCCAAACTACCACCGGTTTTGGTGAACCACTCTTCCTGATAGCAGCTGTGACAGAAGACGTTACTCAAATGGCTAAAAAAAGACAATCTGTAAATGAAGCGATTGGACCCAAAGATGGTCGATGTCGAATCGTAGACCTCTTGGGCAGCAAACTTGGCGGCATCACGCACAGCAGGCAAATCGGAAGCGAGAGATTCGACGATGGCATCCCCCAGAACTTTGCTGTCAATGCAAGGAGGGCCTTCTCCTGCATTGACATCAAACGGCTTCATTCTCACTTTCATGTCACCTAATGATCTAGCGACTTCGATAATCGTAACGTGTTTACAAATGTTGGACAAGAGAGCGGTAGCTTCTGCCGAGAAGTCTGGAAGGGATACTGCGAATATGCAAGCCTTGAAAAGTTTCTTCAGCATGACATCTTGTTGCATCTTCTTAGTTTCAGACCGATCTCTGACAGGAGTTTCGAAAAGTGATAGGTCTGCATCTGATTTTTTAGAAAGAAGATCTTGTGCCTGGAGCCTTACGAGACGAGGAAAGTCATCCGGAAGATTATCTGCGCCCAGTCGCAACTTGAGCTGAGCTTTGACCATAGCAAGCGCTTGCTTCTTGTAATGAGGATCTGATTTTTTAGCAGCAGCACCCTTCGGAACCTCCATCAATTTTCCGATTGCGAGGTCGATTCCTATCTCGACAGGAAAAGCTTTCTCCTTCTTGGAGCCGATCAACTTCAAGTCAAAGGTCGCGATATCATCCGCAAAACTGCTGGAAATTAAGATTGGGGGCACCAGTCATGAATTTCCTGTTGCGACCTCCCAATTTTCCAAGTATACGCATGGTGGTATGTGCATGGAAATGGCTGTATGGATTTGGTCGAAGATGGTCAAATAGTGCAGTCATCAGCTCATCAATTACTGGCGCCATTATTGGGTCTAGGTAATCTGCCGTGAGATTGTCCACGCATAGTTCCAGAGTTCGCAAACCTTGACCAACGAGATCAGAACCTGCGCGTAGAGCCACTACTAAAGGGCGCATCAAGTAGCTAAGATGAGGCAGAAGGTTGCTCAATCGTGCCGGTACTGTTAAACAAAGTTCTACGTAAAGGTCCCGATCTGCTGGTTTGCGAGCAGCCATAAGTAAATTATTGAGGACTTCTAGTAGCATTTCCAAAAGAGGTAAAATTTGCTTGTAAAGATGTTCGAATTTTCCACCTCCAATACTTCTGAAAAGTGATCTCAGTAGTAAGAAATAGTTCAAGGGCTCCTCGGCAGTAGTCGAAAGCTCGATGGACTTTGTCACAATGTTAACAACGTGTGGCAATAGAACCTGCTCGTTCTGGTTCGCGAAGAGAGTCACGGCATGAAAGCTAGCTTGAAGAGTCGAAGAAGAATTGATGACTTTTTGACATCAGCGGTACCAACTTGATCAATGCGGTCCATAAGGAATCGTAATAGCATTCCGGCGAAGCTTGGTGAAGTTGCCTCACTAGCGAGGAAGAATTGAGGAACATGGAGAAGAGCTGTATGCTCAAAGATCATTTCATAAAGCTTGGGTATTTCTTCATGAAATACTTCGTGAAATGTGGCCGGATCTATACAATGAAAGACTGTGGCAAAAGTTTCAAGGAGATCCTTTTCCTCCTTGCTGCTAGATACCATATAATGGTTTGCCATGAATTCAACAGGGGACGAGTATTGCGATTCTGTCGCAGGTTTCTCAATCTCGTAATATCGAAATACGTAAGCTCCTTCTCGGAAAAGTTTTATGATGACTTGAACCTCTTCCGCAGAAAAACCCGTGGTGACACCTCTGCCCAATGTGGAGGAGCATTCGCTAGCTCAATTGGGGAACCTCCGTTGCAGGCCTTCAATTGGTAGAATGTATTCTTCAGGCCATTCATAAGATTTTTGAACAGAAATTTGTTGTCGGCTACTGGATCTGCGCCCCTATCACGAGGATTCGAAATCTTGATAGGCATTGCCGAAAAAATGTCAATCTCGTCCCAGTCTGGTGGGTTATCCTTGTCTGCTAAATAATTTTCGGGGGCAGCGTCGATTGTATGCTGGGAATAGTGCTTTGAAAGCTTGACTGCATTGGTATACTGGCGATTCATGGCTGCAAACTTATCTCCAATGGCATTAAGTATCATTATTAGATAGTGGCGAGCATCTGTCTTGCTAGGCATTTTTGCAATACATTCAGCCATATTGAGTAATAACTTTGCGCTCATAGTTTGAAAGCTTGTCCCAGGAAAACTATCTTGTAGGTTCCGAGTATAAACTTCAACTGTTTTTCGAATCTGGCCGGGTTCCAATGCATCTCGAACGTGATGAATAAGGTCGGCTAACATGCTGTAGGCCAGGGGTCGCATCGTTTCATACACAGTCAAGCCATCGCCGATAAGTGTCCTTTCATCAAGGAGTTGGTCTATTACTCTGAGAAAGATCTTTCTGAAATTGAAGTTGATTATATGTCTGATCGCCACCAGTAGCTCTTTCGAGCTCCAGACTTTTCTCGGGGGCAGTCCCTTAACAGTCTTACTACTATATCCGGTAGCGTGGGAAGGAAATCTGTGAGCTGTTGCGAATAGACTCTCAAAAGATATGCTAGGAAACTCATAGTCTTTACCTGCGCTGTAATGAATTCACCAAAAGCCGCTCGATTCTTGATATCCGGACTAACACCTGTGAATATTGTACCTCTTTTCGCTGCTTCAATATGAGCTTGCTCCTGTGGTTTGGCTTGGAGTAACAGCACGCTTTTGATGAGCGGTATAAATAGTTTGACATTCTGAGGCACGGAATTGCGATAAACCTGGAATATCGATACGACAATGATGGGACATTCAGCAAGGACTTTGAATGACTGCATCCCTTTCAGTAGTTTGCGCGTCTGCTGTTGTGGATCTTGACCGATGTCTCCAGTGGTAACAGGCGAGCCAGGCCGAGGGGAATTCTGAAATGTCTGCGAACTTCCAGGTGTGGACGGAACACCAGAGGGGTTAGATCCGGTGGCTACATTATCGAGTTGGTCACGAACAACCGAATCCATCTGGTCAAAAAGATCTTGAATGAGACCGAGAAACGTCTGCACTTTGTCTTGCAAAACCTTGGTCTGACTTCGCATGATGTCCATGATGGTCTTGACACATAGCGTAGCATTTTCCTCGTTATCTATTCGGACTAGACTTATCAAAAGATCCACCACTTCCACCGCATATGGCTCGAATGATTCCGGGGGGTTCGTTGGTAGACGATGAAGTATCTCCAGGACGCAACATCGAAGTTTCTAAAATTCCAGGTGAGCATGGCGTCACACATTTCGTTATTGTGATGCCTACCTGCTCTAAATTAGTGCTAATAAATACAGGAGGACCCTTCAAGCAATTTATAAAAATTGGCATGAGCTTCCTTAAGAATGCCGGATATATGGGACCGGTGATGTAATGCTCGAGGCCATCGCGCAATTGAACGGCAGCATCGACCTTGAGTTTGAGATCTGTCGCATTATAATTAGCATAAGAATATCCAGAATTACGTAGCAAAATATGCACAGTGGTTTGGTGTCAAGAAAAAGTCCAGTAATTCAAAGGCATACCAGTGTCTGCAGAGCTCAACCTCTGAACGAGGACCTCTATATTATTAGAAGTCATAGCTGCAATAGCAGCGGAATTCGCATTGGCGCAAGCCTCTTGCGGGAATTACTTCATGCAGCGCGAGAAAATAACACCAATTACAATAGAATTTCTCGTCAGGCTGAAAAAGTACCGGTATTATGTGCAAACAGAACCGGCGTGCTTCCCAAAAGTAGTTCGCGTCTTGAATTGAAGGCTTCCGAGAAAAGGCTGGGAAAGTGTAGATGTTGTGGAAAAAATTAAATTAACTATTTAGTCAATACTTGAGAGACAATAAGGGTTTCGAATGATAGAAAGTTTCGAAATGAAAGGTCTGTCGTGATGTCGTAAATATTAAAAACGTTCTTCGTCCTGGTTGATTTGGACTTCTTCTGATATTTCTATGCTTTCTACAGACAAGGCTCAACTTTTTGGATGGGGGAATCGCAGAGACCCCGAGCGCTTATATAAGCCAAGCTAAAGTAGGATTAGACAGTATGATTGGCCGAAGCTTCTAGTGAAGTTAGCCTTATGGTACACGTGATCTATTAGTCATCCATTTATAGAGGCATTCAAGTCAATCTAGCGTGAAAAGGTAAAGTAGCATTTGACTTTCGATGACCAGTACATGATGTGTTTTGTTACTATTTGTGATGTCAAACTTTCATTTTATCACTGAAATATTTCTGATTCGATTCACTTTGAAGAAGATAATCAAGAAGTCAAGTCAAATCAGCATGTCAGAAAAGTTGGCTTCTAATGTCCAATCCAAGAGAGTTCTTGTATTTCTGTGGCCCCAGAATCGTTCCTAGCATGGTCTTAATACATTGAAAGGAAATGAATTTCTATGTATATGGCCGCAATCCTATGCTTTTAGTAAGCTAGGCTCAAAAATGTGATGGACACAGTAGGGTAACTTGGTAGCATTCTAGAATACTGCGGCGCGCGAATATCTATATTTACTTCAACAGTTCGACTTAAACCCCCAACTCTGGATCGAATCCGTTAGCAGTCCTGGAATGTTTCCTCGGTATATTTTGGTCTTTCCCCTGTTGTACACTAATGAATGGACGGTAGTTGATATTGGATCTATATGGTCTGAAGGAAAGAAGAGAGAAGCAAGCAAGCCATCGATGCAGAATTTGGGCTGCGTTCCGATGTACAGCTATCACCGGTGTCAGGAATTTGAAAGCCTTGCGAAACTCTTGCAGGTTATCAATGAGTCGAATAGACTGTTATCCACTGCCATCTTTCCCATTTGAAAGAGAGCTAGCAAGAGAGATAAAGGGTTGCCCACCCAAGCTCCAAGGGATCCGATCCTGCTGCCTTCTTTAGCTTCTTGTCAAGGCGGAATATTGATGCTTTGGGAGCTGCGGACAACAGCCCCGCACATCAAATGTGTCTCAATTCGCAGTACTGCGCCTTTATAAAATATCCATGGTTTCCTTATGTGTAAGTTGGAATTTATCTTTTGTTACCAAATCGGACCAAATTTTTTGTTCAAGAATTACATGAACACTCCTTCGGTCTGCAAGTTAAGCCCAGACATAGAGCAAATCTGGTACTCCGAGATTCACATCTACCCTGTATCGGATTCTTGTTGGTATAGGACATGATCGCAACGCTCTATCGCATGACCATACGCAGCTAACGCCAAACCATGGCGCTCTTCGCATAGAATCAAATATCTGTCATTTGGATCATCCTCTCTACAAGACAAGCTTAAGTCCCTAAAATTACACCAGGCCAATATGATGTCTCCCTCATTACAATACAATATTTGGCTCTACCGAAAGATCCCAAAACTCATCGAGCAACGATTTTATGTGTGGTGTGCTTGGGTTGCTCGTCAATTGATGATTCCACCTAAAAGAACGTCGTCGCAATGCAATCGAGATGCAGCCACCTGCCTGGTAATACTTGCAGTGTCTGCAAAGATTCATAGCAACATAATCACTACAACAGAATATGAGACATTGTTCGCCACTCTCACAGCTGTCATATTTACTGTTTCCATGTTATGGCGTCCAGGGATATGCCGACTTCGACATATCCATGCAGCAAGTCGTTCCTCTTGTATTACCACACACGAGACTAATCATGCGCGTAGGTAGCTATGGCTTCTTAGCTCTACAAGCTAATATTTATACTGCGTCTGGCTTTCATGACGTCCGAAAGGCTCAGTCAGGGGATTCAATGAGGGATGGGCATTCAAAGCAATAGTGAGGTGCCAATCCTGCTATGAAACCATTGTTTTCTTCACTAGATCGATTGATCTGAAGATTCTCATGGTGAAGAGTGCTCGCGCTAGCTAGTACCGATCAGTCTGTTCTGTCAGCATGAAATATTGCGTTTTCTTTTTTTCGATTGTTTGTCGGGGAATAGCGATCAAGACTAGAGGCAACGACTTCCCAATAACTCCCTCAAGCTGACTCGAACCAATCTATACTAGGACACAAAATAGCCAACACAATGGCAGAGAAGAAAAACTGCATCGATGACGAAGTGTCTTAGAGCAACTATGAAATTATGACCCAGATGCTCACACCTTATGGAAAGGATAACCTATATCATGATCAATAAATGTTTCCATAACAGCCTCTCAATAAATAGCTTTCTTGGTCGTGGATTGTCGAACGTTCTTCTCAGGGTCAAGTGTCCATGCCCGCAATACCGTCCACCATCCGTGCTGGGAGCGTAATATTCACCATGTGCTCTCGTCTCATTTATTTGGTATACACAAGAAGTCTGATGTATATTTAAGACATTGGATGTTGACACTCTTTTGCCTAAGTATTTCGATGTTTATGATATTACCCTGAGTTTCGAAAATCTTTTTCATGGGAGCACCTGCCTTTATCACAACGAAGATCTCCCAAGTTCTGGAATCTATCATACCTTCCTCATGAATGAAACAATACAAGGGTATCGTACAAAACTTTGCTACATGGAAAATCTATCAGCTTCTGGTATAGCCTGGGCGATCATTCGCTGTCCTTGTTTATTCACTCCATATAAACCTGCAAGTGGAAGGATCACATTCACATAAAAAGTCTCCCAACTCAATTGATTCACACATCTTCCCGGTTATTCAGTATCACATCAAGTGGGTTTACTCCCATAATCTTAACAATTCGACGCTCTGGATTGGTCGCCTTACCCGGTTAAACATGTAAATGGAGCCTGGAAAACACCTTGATGGCTATTTAAGAGTACAAGCAAAAATTCCATGGATCTTCTGCACATCAATTTTTAAGAGTTCAATTTATTTTCTATCTTCTTTCAATTTCAAGACTCGACACAACAGACTTTGCAAAGAGATTTCCCAAGAAAGGATAAACTACGCAAAAAAATTCTGGTAATGTAATCTTGCAATATTTCATAATCACCACTTTCGATCCAGATTGTTTCCCACATATAGTATCATATGGATAACGCTTCAATATCTTCGTCCGCTTGTGTATGAATATCCCATCCATGGCTCTATATTCGACTGTTTCATATCACATACAATTTTATCAGCCAACGAATAATATTGGAGTTGATATTTACCCCGTGCCTCCACGAGGTCTCCCTATTAACTCTAAATTTCTAATACCCCTCATTTCATACTTGGCACCGTAATAACTGTTTAAATTATCACATTCTAATCTCGCAATTATCTTGCAGCTCCGAATATTACGCACATTTGATATTTTCCAAGAAAGCCTAGAATATTCGATCATGGACAAATTTTCCATCTGTTCCCTACTATCCTCCATCCGCTCAATCTACTGGAAAAACAAAACACCCTCGTCCTCAAAATGCAGCAGTACCTCCTTCAGTCCCGTTGTCGAAACAAAAGAAGTCATCGAAGATGCCCCAAATCCACAAGCCGAAGTCTACATCCAGAAAATCCTCTCTCTTTATACACAACTATCCCAACTCACTGATCTTAATCCTTCTCCTGTAACCAATGTTTTGTTTTCAGAACTTGTGGGAACATGTATCACTGTTGTTCCTGACTTAATTTCGAAATTGGTCAGTTTCGTAACTAGAGCTTGAATAGCAACTTTCGACTAATAGATATGTAGGTGCTCAGCGACCCACGGATTTCCAGCATCTTGCCTTCGCTTCGCGACATCTGTTCAACCGCTGAAGCACGCATGGAATCCCACTGGGCAAAAGCAATCTCTAGCAGTGAAACTCATAAGGATGGCAAGTCTCATACATCTCTTAATCCAATTCCCCTACAACTAACTGCACCCAGCCCACCGCATCCTTTCCACCTTCCCCTACGACAAAAACTACGAACATCTAACACGTTTTGAACTCGCCGCTATTTCCTCAACCGGCTTCACTCTCTCCCCATCCACCAACATCGCTTTTATCGGCTCGGGTCCAATGCCCCTCACTAGTCTCTGCATCTTATCTGCACTCTCCTCAAACCACATGACGTACAACATCACACCTCCTTCATCTATTTCATATATTTCCCCAACCCCACAATATCCAACCTCTATCACCAATATCGACAGTAACTCTCTCGCCAATACCCAAGCTCAAGCCTTGTGCAAATCACTCGGTGGACTTCCATCCACCGGAATGAAATTCACCACGTCATTAGCTGGATCTCATGATCTCTCGAGTTATGAGATCGTATGGTTAGCGGCTTTAGTGGGAGGCACCCAGGAGGATAAAGAGAATATTTTGCAAAATGTGGTGGGGAAGATGAGGAAGGGGAGTTTGTTGGTTATGAGAGGGGCGTGGGGGTTGAGGAGTGTGCTTTATTGTGTATGTATTTTCCTCTTTCTTCTGTTTTCCTTGCTTGATGTTTTGGGTTTTTTCTTTGATGTCATGGGTTATGGGTTATGGGATGTGAGATATAAGATCTCAATCCATCTGAAGAAAAGATGAAAAGACCAAATAGCTAACCACAAAAAATAGGATTTCGACGTCACAACCCCAGCAGTAACTCAACATCTCGATATCTGCGTCCGCATGGACCCATTCGGCGATGTGGTAAACTCTGTCATTGTAGGGAGAGTGAGATAATTCTG